GGATTCCATTTTCACCCAACTACAAAGGGAACGGTCCCAGACTTATGAAGGTGGTGCTTCAATCTGAGTTTATGTTACCGCTCGCCTTGGAAAACTGGTCCAAATTCCGCATGAAGCTGCCAGCTGAAATTCGGTTAAAGGCATCAGGTACGCTGCCACGGATTACCAACGACTCACGGGGAGCGATCAAATTGTTGAACCATCCACTCATGCAACTTTGTGAAGGCATGGATTTATCAACAACCGCAATATCCCACGAAACACGGCTGAACACGGGGGACCAGCAGGGCCCGGAAGGCCGCGATCAGTCGTATAACCGAAAGCAAACTCAAAGGCAAACGTCACCACAAAAAAACGGTTAATGGCCGACCCGTTAACGGTCGGCACAAACTCCATTTCTACCACAACCTGTGCTAGCTCACTCTTGGTTACAAAAGCACTATCCTGCATGTATACTAATGCACAAGGCCTCATAAGTAAGTTGGTAGAACTCCGTCACCGTTTGGCTTCGGAGCCTCGAGACATCATAATGATCACCGAAACCTGGCTGAGCGGCGAAATCACAGACCCTGAGATTGCCATACCGGGTATGTCACTTCTCCGGAACGACAGAACGGGCAAGGGCGGTGGCGTGCTCATTTATTTCCGAACGAACCTTCGTTGTGAGCTCATAGACGATCCCCAGACTTGTGTCACCGACGTCCTTTGGTGCAAACTGTGGTTGGAACGCAACGACGTATGCCTTCTCTCTGTGGTTTACCGACCACCGAAATCCACTCCGGAAAGGGACAACAGACTTATCTCCGCTTTTCGCTCCGTGCTTAATCAGAAGTACAGCCACATCCTCGTTGCAGGAGATTTCAACACCCATGACTTAGAAAATCCAGCATCCGAGACCGAGGTGTTCAAGGCATATTTGCAAGAGCTACTCTCTAGCACCTTCTTGTATAACCACGTCACCGTTCCAACCAGGTTCAGAACAGGAAACAACCCATCGATATTAGATCTAGTGCTCACTAACGAAGAGCTCATGGTCGATGGACTAAAGGTGTGCAGTCCTTTGGGCCGCAGCGATCACTTGACTTTGCAGTTCGATTACATCTGCTACGCCAAATATCCAGCTGCGGAGCTCGAAACGAGGCAATCTGTTATCCATTACCACGTTCTGTCTGCCTTAGTTGAGAATACCAGTTGGACGTTTCTAGCTAACTGCACCCCAGAACTAGCCTGGGAGACATTTGCGAACACCATCACGTCACTAGTCATAGAAGCCTCAACACCAAAAGTTTCCCAACATCCCCGCACAGCGAAATCATTCTTGCGAAGCCGGACGCGAAAATGCATGACTCTAAGGGATCGGGCATGGCGCACGTATAAAAGCAACCCCAGCGCAGAAAACTGGACGGAATACGTTTCGCATCGCAACTACTGTGTGCTTTTGGTTCGCGAAGACAAGAGAACGCATCAGCAGGAGCTAGCCAAACGATTCTGTTCGAACAAAAAGCTTCTTTACAAACATGTGAATGGACTTCGCAAGGTGCAACGGGGAATCCCACCACTTAATACGACCAATGGGTATACACATACTGCGAAAGAGGCGGCCAACGCATTACGGGCCCAATACTCCCCAATCTTCCAAGGTGTACAAGCCTCGACGTATATTCCGCCACTAGTTACCCCACCGCCCGTTTTATCCAACGTCACGTTCACTGCAGAAATGGTGCTGCAAAAGCTGCTATCCTTGCGTCCACACAGCTCTCCCGGGGCCGATAACATTCACCCGAAAACATTACAGGTAGCTGCCATCCACTTGGCCGAACCACTAGCTGCATTTTTTCAGCGCTGTTTCGATGAGAACATCGTACCTTCGAGGTGGAAACAAGGTGTAATAACGCCCATATACAAAGCAGGAAGTCGATCGGATCCTGTCAATTACCGCCCCGTAACGCTTCTGCCTGTGATCGCCAAAGTCATGGAAGCGGTGATAGCAGATGCGTTAATGGGATACTTGGAAAACTACGGCATAATTGCGCCAGAACAGCATGGGTTTCGTCAACATCGTTCATGTACGACGAATCTGCTGATAGCTCGTGACAACTGGACCGAGACTGTCGATGAGGGAACAGGAGTCGATGTTGCATTCTTGGACTTTTCGAAAGCCTTCGATCGCCTGGATCATCGAATCCTGCTCATGAAACTCCAACAGTACGGTATCGGAGACCCGTTGTTAGGATGGATCGGTAACTTTCTCTCTGAACGGCAGTTAGAAGTTAGAGTTCGATCATCCTTTTCCGATCCGATTCGAGTGGGATGCGGCGTACCGCAGGGTTCGGTACTTGGGCCTCGTTTGTTCCTGCTTTTCATTAACGATCTAGTAAGAGTTATTACGTCGAAATTCTTACTCTTCGCGGACGACCTCAAGGTTTGGCGGGCGATAAAATGATCAGACGACCATGAAGTCCTACAGCGTGACTTGAATGAGGCCTGGAATTGGTCGGTGAGAAACGCCCTGCCGTTTAATGTGGACAAATGTCGCGTTGTTCATATCCGCCATCGACAAGTCCACGTCTACAAGCTTGGGGCACACGATCTGAAGACCACCACCGTGGAACAAACGGTCGAGCGTGAATCGTCAGTGATCTATTTACACAGTTTCCATGGATACTTAAAATGCCAAAAATTCTAGTAGGATGGCATATTAAGGTTTTCCAGATTGGCCGGATACGTATCTGGGCGATAAGGAATATTTAAACATTCAAGTCTGTCAAGGCGGGGAACTCAAGTCAAGTCAATAAAATGCTTAATACACCAACAACGCTAGAATATTCAGCCGTAAACAGCCTGGTTTCATCAAATAAATGCATCGTACGCGCTGGATTTTTCCATCACCTTTCTTTCTAAAATGGGTGATTAGATTTGACCTAAACGCTTCTTTATCTACTTCTAGGATTCTTTTACCATACCAATACTGTAAAACTCCTTCTCGTGTTCATTGCGAAACTGATTTTGATTTAATTGTCCAAGCTGATGGAATAAAATGAGATCTGATAAAATCTGTTCAAAAGCCACTGCACTCAGCTTTCTTTTTATTTCTGTATTCTGCTGGAATTAACTCCTTAGGCGGCCGCGCACTTGCAAATAGATCCGATGAGCCTCCAGTAGCTGGTAGACATTGTTCCGGACTCATTTATGCAGAAGTAGCATCTCATATTTTCACCGCCTAATTGTTACGAATTCTTATTTTGCTAAGGTGGTTTATGTGAAGGTAACATTCAGTCTACAACAGCGTTGTCACTAACCCTTTTATCATTTGCTGGGATAACACTAAGCAACTGTCGAAGCGCCATCAACATTTGAACACGGTAGCCAGTGCATTATACACTGCTGTCGAGATGTTGCAAACCACCAGCCAAAAATGTCGGCATCGACCCAGTCTGAACTGGCCGGTGTCAAAATCGACGAGGGTAATTAACATATTTCAAGGACACATGCACCGCAATGCGTCCGCACGTCGTATTCACACCCCCAGACATGCGTGGATGAGTAAATACAGTAGACTTACATGCCATTGGTGGGTCGGCAAATTAGTGAGCTCCAATCTACCCCTGTGCGACTGAGCAAAAACGAAAGACTCTTCTCAAACGTACGGTAATTGTTTGCCTGGGGAGGCTTTTCTGTCAAAACGATGTATATACGTTTCGCGCGACGTAATTAGCTTCAGCTTTGTTCCATCATTACAGTGATCATGCGGAACCATTATTCTCAAAAATGACACCAAAGAAGCCCAGCCTATCACACACTACATTTTGTCTGAACTCTTAGTAGTGTCTCTTGTACCTCAGCATATGCACTGAAGAGACCACCTTTTCTGCACGAACAGGATGCTATGGTGCAGCCGAGGTTCACCTAAAAATAACGAAGACGGCTGTCGTAGATGCAACTTCTCCGTTGCCTCTGTTTTTTTCGATAATATCTGGATGGAATGCAGGTTCCCACTATGTGGATGCATTGGATCTTCCCTCATAGTAACTACGTGGGTGATCACCACCGATTAATTTCCTACAAAGCGCCTCCCGACTTTTTGGAGGCTACCAACACAGCATCAAGCGAGGATTACTCTACATTCAACATCATTCTACTCTCATCGGAATCGGCTATGCATCACTAACTCCAGTGTTCTTTGCTAGTGATACCGGAGAAAGAATTTATGCTTCTAATCTAAACTACTCGAAGAATCATTCTATTCGTCTTTTTAATGCCCAAACTACGGAATCTGCATTATTATTCAGGAATGGAAAACCACTTCGTTGGAACACTGTCCTATTACCGGCGAATGACCCGCTTAACTTCGGTTCGCTGATTTTTCAAGGAAACCTAATTACAAAACTTAAACATCTAATTGAGCCCTTCTACCTATACCATGTTCCACCGGCTAACGTTCAGTGATTGAACGGACCTAAATTGGTTTCAAATTAGTTCGTCACTTCAAGTTAAATATGCGCGACAATCAACCGTACTTCGGCCGCATTTGGTGGTTTATGAAAGTAGAATAAAGCGAGCTAGTGCTTGTTTTTCGACTTGGATAACGTCGTACCCTCATGTTAAAGTAATATAGAATATGATACATCGCAACGGATTCATGGGGGCTTTGATGATGAAAACTGAACAAAGACGATGCTGTTAAGTGAAAGCAATCGCTCTCAATTTGGGATAAGTTAATTGCAATGTGAAGTTTAATGCTATGCATGAAGGGTTCGGCTTTGAGGCGCCAAACAAATGATGGGGATAACCTCAAGGTCGATTCCTTTTCGTCATCAGAATCCGCCGTAGCTTCAATACCGTTTGCTACTTACTGTGCCATGGCGCCGAGTAAATCGAACAGAATGCGCTGACTTTGTTTTACCACACAAATTAGCTCATCACATTCAATAAGGCTGAATTGGCGATAATGTAAGCGGTCTCAAAGTACTGTTTATTACAAGAGCTGATTCAACACTTACTTTTGGAAGGCCTTGATCAGGGAGAAGGGAGCCAATAGTATAGGTCCATCGGGTAGCGGGCAATTCCTATCGCGCACCGTGTTTAGAAATCCACGGGTAGCTCGTGACTGACCAATTGGTCTTGATGACAAGTATACAAAACGATAACCATTTTGTGCAATTCGATAGTAGACTGGCGCGACATTTGAATGGATCCACTGGAAACCCACAATTGGCATCAAATGTCCCAACCAGTCGGATCTGAAATTGACAACAATAAGGACTTCCTCTACACTTATGTGAAGTACTACACTATACCACTTGCTAGTCTTGGTCGTCTCCTGCAGTATTTTAGATAACCCAATCGAAAGACTAAATCCCCAGCTCACGTGTCTAATTCAGTAATCTTCGCACCATACTCTGCGACTTGATTTGTCATTCGTTGTGATTAACCTAGTGTTTTGCGCCCTTCTTGAGCGCATGTCTCATCATTTCACTGTTCCAGAGTTCATGCACAACATTGTAGCCAAACGTCTCCAAATAAAGTAGCTCGTCCGGTGACCGACACTTTGTGAGAATCTTGAGACTTGGTCTTTTGGTACCTGCATTCGGCCTCAAATTTGCACGTGATGCAGAAACCGGGCCACAAGGCTTCGTATCCACTGTATCGTTATCTGCTTGTACACAGTTGTTGTTCTGCAATACCTGTGTTGCTCTGGGCTACTGGACGTTGTCCAGCCTGTTCATAACAATTGCGGGAATGTAAACAATGTTCCCGGTTTCAAAACTGAGCCAAGTATCACCCAATTCCTTTGAACTGTCAACTGCTGTACCTCTCTTCATCACGGCTGTCGCACTGATTTTCGGCTGACATGCACTGCACTTTTCTCATTTCCGCTCAAGCGGTACAACTAGCATACACTCGAGTAATCAAGACCGGAGTTCATGCGAATCGAAATCCAACATGTACAATATCGGTGCAGATTTGGGAAGATACGCGTACCTGCAGCACACAGAGGGTGACTGGTCCGTATCCCACTCTAAAATGGAACCACACGTTAAGTCTGGCGCGATCGCGATAGTGGCATCGGACGAGGAGGTGCCTCACGATCACTCACCTTGAATGCAGCTAGTTATGGTGGGTTCACACGAGGCCACATCTGTCATTCGACCCTGGTCCGATTGATTTACGAGGTATATTATGTAACATCATTCCAAGCCTCTGCACCAACTCAACAATGGTGTCACATCACGGCGCTCCTGGCAAAGCTGGTGTAATTAATTGTTCGATAACCACGTCGTTCACCAGCTCTGAAATGTATGCATAGTTGCCACATCGATAGTATAAAGCTGCAAGTCTGCAGATGTGGGGAAATTCGGGGAACTGCCTGACCAGCAGAAACTAACCAATGTGTAAACTCTTACAGGCTCCATAAATTAGACAGTGAAATCTCTTCAACTCAAGTCATTATAAGCCTTATGTACCCAAATGGGTGCATTTTCAGCATTTTGCATTATCAATTGTAAAGTTACCAAAGGGGTACCATGAAAAATACTAGGTTTAACAATGGGTAGAAGAATGGGAATGTACTGTCATAGATCGAGCAAGTAACGATCCCAGAAAGCTGAACTAAATCTTCGGGATTTGTATTCATTCGAAAGGGAAAAGGTTTCATAAAAATGTTTCTTCAGAATTCGTTTCGATTGACGTAGCATTTTATGCGCGATATCATGCGTTTATATTCAAAATTGGAGGAAGTAGAGGGTCTCAGTGACCTTGGAAGTTGATTACACAATATATCTGTCAGCGTAATCTTGCAAACTGAGATATATACAGTAGATAATGTAAAAAGTGATGTTCGGCGTAAACGGCAACGGCCGATTTAAAGGCAAAGTAACTGAAGCGAATGAACCCATCGGATGTATAAGAAAATCACAGCTTAAAGTCTAAGGTAAAGCGACACACAGACGCTTGAGAGTTGCGTCACACAATATATCAAACCTGATCCACCATGTTACTGAATGTTGAATCCCTAGTTCACCGATTCAGCTTTGCTGTCGTCTATTTGCAAGTAGTATGGACGAACTCCGCATTTGACCTCACCCGGAATCAGTGCCAACCGACAAACTGCTCATCATCCAATTCCCCCTGATCTTTACTATAAACTATTTTATTTACAAATACCAATTCATATTATGTAAATACATAGGTCCTTTGTTTTAATCCACCTCATACTACACAGTTGAAATAGCTGGAACTGTTTGAGCTGAATCCGCGGAACTATCTGACAATAATAATAATAATAATACGCATATTTCTCTTGATGAGAGAAACTGTCTATAGCGGCACAGATCAATGTGTACAGCATCTAATTGTGAATCTGTTCACCTATTCATATGCGTCCCCATTTTACCTTATGATCACAAATGTAGAACTACGGTTACTCCAGTACGGTTTGTACTGCCCACTACTACTAATTCTCACAGCACAGACCGTGCGTTTAGAAGTGTCACTAGCTCTCAGTTAGCTAGCAACATCTGCAGTAACACCTAATATGCTTTGTGATGGGTATGTCCACTAGATTGAACGCACGGATCAGATGAACAAGCTAGACAACCGATGAAAAATGTATCTAACAGACTCGATCGTTGGAAGCCAATTGGCCGATGTTCGTGTGCGCTACGGTAAATTCCTCATAATTTGTTTAACGGTCAAATGAGCAACCTCATCAGTACATAAACGTCGTTGTCTATGGAAGCGAACGGACAACAAAGCGAGGAGCTCTACGTGCAAAATGTGCTGTAATTTCATCTGACTTCTGCGACATGGCGTCAGAGAAGCTATAGACGAATCTCGCAAGCGGCTATCGGATGCTTAATGGTGCAACCCTGGCTTCTCAACTGTCTGCCCCATTACATATGGATGGACGGGACTTAGCAAGTAATTGGCCTCTCTGTAAGAACTAATGGATGGATTTATGCATATTTATGCGCTTGGACTAGCAACCACTTGCGTGTGGCTCGGCATTGTTTTGACAAAGGTCTCAGTTACTTGCTGAAGCCAATCCAACGAAGCTCATCAACGCTACGTATACTCGTGATGAATCCGTCACTGAGTTAACGATTTCAGTCCGGTCCTGCAATTTCTCAAAACGCATAACCAACAGTAATGCACGGAACCTAATGGTTCTAGAACTCAATGGCGAAGGTGGGACCTATAGGCTTTTGCGATAACGCAATTTATTACTCTGTCAGTACGTCGACATATGCAAATTGAGTCCTCGACCACTTATCATTACCATTTGATGAGGCTCGCAACTGATGCAAAATGGTGCGGTTTTGGAGGGCAAAACCACGAAGCTAGCAACAAATTTTTTGACGCGCGACCCCTGAGGAGTCGTGAACAACTTCGGGTGTGGGGACGAAAGTGTGTGGACAATAGGGTCACTGTTCATTGCTGTTAGTCGGGCAATATCAGCGCACACGTACGTGAAAAGTTAGTTGCAGATTTACAACATTCAGTCGGAATTGATCACAAAAATATGTTTACGCAACTCCTTTTATCGAAGTCGGAGCCGTACGAATCCAGTTAGGCTCGGGTGCTACTATCAACATTCTAACCAGATAGCACCGTCCCTGAGTGTATAGCCGATCTGATCAAGATTGTTTGCGCATGTGGAATAGCTCTATAATTCATTCGAAAAGCTCAGCTGCGATCGAAGTAGTGAATCCAGAGGACAGAGCCCCACGTCGACCGGAGTTTGTGGTGTGAAAAAGAAGCTCACGCCCATTCCGGGCATTAGTTCAGTTCAGTCCCCTAGTTTTTGTTCATTTTAATGATGATCGTTTCGTGCATACTTGTTAGGGAGAGACTGACCAGGGTTTGGGGAAATTTGAGGGAACTGCTCACTAGTCGCCAGAGCCCTCAGTACGATCGACTTCCTTGCTGACTAGGAGGATTCCGTTCGCTCTGCGTGGTAGATTCTCCACTGAATAGAGCAAATTCATGAGGAGTGTGATTGTCAAAGGACGAGCTGAAAGACCGGATTACTCAGGTCACATTCATTACGAAGAAGACGAGAAAATTGCGCGTGTATATTGACCCGAAACCGTTGAATGAGTCCCTACGTAGAGAACATTTTGCGCTACCGACTCTAGGAACTGTTTTAGCTCGTTTTGCCAAAGTTGTGCTAATACTAAATTCACTAAAATGTGTAGCTGGTCGATTCTTTAATTTCTAGAGAACACCAGTCTGAAGCAAACAGTTGCTTTCAGCGATTCATCCGCGGGCCGGTACAAACGATATAGGGCTAAAATACAAAGAAAAATACATTGATCGCTTTAAGACGTAGGTCAATGATTGGACAGCAGATAGTTCGTCGCTATCTCACATAGATCGATCGGGTTTGCGTAATCAAACTGATGTCACCGGTGTAAGAGTGATGGTTCAGCCAGGATAGACAGAGCGGTTGAACAAACTTATTTAGCGGGCATAACGGGGATTGGGATACTTGGATCACAATATCTTCTGCTATAGCGAACATTCATAGATACAGACAATTCGATTTGTTCAATGGGATCTGGTAAACCATAGTAAACGCATTCAGAATGTCAAACCCATGGCCTGATTCGAATAAGTGGGCCGAAATTCCACTTGCCGAGAATCCAGTGCCTCTGTTAGCCAACCATTTAGGACTTTGTTCCTTAACGTGACGTGACAATTGACGAGTCGTCCGACCAATATTTGTCACACCACCGGTGCACTCAGGTCGTTAGATTATGTGAGAGAATATCGGCTTCGATAGTCTATCCTTATTGCACAATGGAGTAAGCGTGCTGGTGGCGAAGACACATCGCACTTCCGCAGCTGGGAAAATGTTCCTTATCGACCATGTCAATTTTCTTGTTATACGCTCAACAATTGTATCACCGTTAAGACTAGGGCTCTGTCTACCCTGGTCGAACAGCAGTCAATCTAATCATCACACTGATACCAGTGTCGTCAGCGTGATTACGTAACCCCGATCGATCTGTGTGAGTGAGACAGTGACGAAAGATCTGCTGCTTAACCATTGACCTACCTCTGAACTAATCACTGTACATTTCTTTGTATCTTAGATTTCTGGCCGTAAATTTTAACTAGTCGATCATGAACAGCATGACAGTTGGTCCTGACTACAGAATCACATATTCCGACTATATTTCTTTTCCATTATTAATCATCTTTGCTTATTAGTATAAACTTGCAATCCTTCACACCTATCGCTCTTCGCTTAACTGCGTTACATTCACGTGTTCGTATTGGTTGCTGCTTGAACGATGCATGGATTTACTCTTACCCCTATTTTGCAAGTCGTTTCACTTATTCGTAAATCTATTGAATTGCTATCCTAGAACCACAGTTTAACAATGAAATTTATTCAGTTCTTAGTCCTGTCGCCCAGACTGTGCGTTAGTCTAGACTGCTTTCTGACTCCGTAATTGTAACACAGTATTTCACGAAGGTGTACCTATCTTCTCCATCCTGGTACGTAGTTTTAGATGAAAAACGCAGTTTCTTTACGATCTTTGACACACCGTTCGGACGTTGTCGTCGGTTACACTCACCGCTTGGTTTCAATGACTGAGTGAAATTTTCCGGAGACGGTTGGTGCAAGCGTTGGACGATCTAAATGTTTTAACCTATGTGGCACATGAGTCTCTGATTTACGAATCGACTGAAGAAGAGCATGACGCCAATCCCCACCGTTTCTTGTAACGTTGTGTGCAAAACAAAATCAGGCATAAATATGAGAGGCTAGAGCTTCGGAAAGACGAGGTGATTTTCCATTGACATGTGTTAACATTCGAGGAAATCAGTCTATCCAGGAAAAACTATGACAATAAGACAGATGCCGTCCCCTAACGACATGAATGTAATCCACGGTTTGAACAATATGGAGAATGACTTGAGCCGTTTCATGCCAAGATTCGCTCAAATTATGACGCCGATCAGAAAGCTGACTTACAGGGTAGTAAAGTGCAGTTGAAGAAACGAGTAGGAAGCAGCATTTGCGACTATTAAACATCTTATCAGCAACGCACATGCAATCGGATATTAGGATCCAACGCAACTTCTGGAGATACAGTGTATTAGTAGCCAGAGCGGAATGGCCGCTGCTCTGCTGCAGAATAGAAAACCTTTGGATTTCCGTGGTTGATCACTTACAGTGGGGGTTCAGGGTTATGCGCAGATTTACTAGAAGATGCTCGCTGTAGTGCATTTTAACGATTATACTTTCGGAAGGAAGACAACTATGTATACCGACCATAAACCACTTATACATATTAATAGTAAATCGCTAGGCAACGTTCTTCGTCGTCTAAAACGTGCGATTATCCGGCTTCGAAAGTACGAAATGGAAACTGTGTATACGCCGGGTGCACAGATGTTCATTGTAGACACCCCGTCAGTCTCATCTGCCGGTAACCGAACATCAATGTGAAGAGATCAAAACAGCTGGCAGTGACGAAGATCATCTAAAAGAAACAAAACGTCAAGTGGCAGAAGCAGCATCGTTTCTAGCTTTGCGGGAAATAAACCCGAAGGGGCAGCTTCAGAAGGAACTATCGTAGTATTTCAATTTTCAGGAAGAACTCACTATCTATGATGGTTTTCTGTTCAAATAAAGCCGTTCTCCAATTCCGTCATCGCTCCGAAAAGAAATTCTGGAACATCTCCATCGCTTTTACCTGGGTGATAACTGTACTTTTAGCAAAGCAATAAAATTAATTTTCTCATTAAGTATGACAGATAAAATCAAGGTCGTATCGTGAGGCATGCTGTTCACACCAAATTTGGCAGATCAAGGAACCAACGGTGTTACACGCTGCCCCCAACCGACCGTGGCAGAAGACGGCAGTGCATTTATTCGGTGACATCGGCGAAGATTACTTACTCCCTGTGGCCTAGTATGGTAATTATTTCGAAATTGATGTAATCATCACTGACAACAGAAGCAATAATCAACAAACTCAGACAACAATTCTCCCAGAACGAAATACCAGAGGAGTTGTATCCGACTACCATCCCCAGGTCACCAGCATTGCCTTCAGATCTTCGCAAGCGAGCCCATATCACAGTCAATCAAATGAAAAGGCGGTGTCGGGAATGAAGCAAATCAAGTGAATGTTAGCGAAGGCTAGAGTGGCTCGTGAGGACCAGTACCTCCTGCTACTGCAGAATTGTAACATTCGTTTAACGGATATCTGTCTGTGCCCAGCGCAGTGCCCGTACATTCGAAGGATTACAACTCTAATGTCGGCATCTGTCACACGTTTACACCAAGTTTCATCACATGAGACACTACAAGACGGTTTCAGAAGCCGAATGACCACTCATAAACGAAACTACAACCGAGATGCCCTGGCACTACCTGAGCTGATATTGGGGAGAAATTATGACTTCAGTCAGTACCCGGTTTTTAAAAACGGTGGGGAAAAGGTGCCGTGACGGCGAAGGTCGGTGCATAGTCATGTGAAATCAGTTTTGGAGAGAAGACGCTCGGAAGAAACCGGGTGTAGTTAAGGTTACACGAGAGACAGATAGATAAACAGCACGTCCTGCAGTGTATCGCAATGAGACCGCGGCGGAAAGTGCAGCGAACGCAATGCGAAGTGGTAGAGTTTATGGAGTGATTAGCAAGGTGGAAATACAAGGACACGGAAAAAGGGGGGATATGATGGGAGTGTTCTACTAGAATGAACATAAGATCAAAGGAGGAAGCTAAGAGGCGATGGGAAACAGATATGACGGATTGATCATTTGACGCTGCTTGACCCATGTTCGTGTACGCTAAGGGGGGTTCTTCATAGTTTAACTGAGCCCATAAAGGTCGTTGTTTATAGTAGTGCACGTAAATATATCGAGCTCCGCTTGTCAAACAAACGGATTTTCTCAGTCGACTTCGCCGAATAAACGCTTATCCCTGATGTAGTAACTACTGTGACATGCTTCATGTAGTTTATTTCTTCCGTGAGTGACGTTGGAATTTAGATGCTATAGACTGGCAGGATTTAGCGCAAATAAACCTTCACAACAGATAACCGGAAAACAGTGGACGGCTGTTCTTCATCGGAACTCTCCAGTAGTGCACATTCTATCTAGTCAGTGACGGGTGGAAGAGGTAACTCTGCACTCAAGAGTCACTGATTAGGACTACTGGGCAGTTGGTGAACACTTAAAACACGAGTTCACTTGGAGAATTTCGAACTTACTTTGTTATTGTGCCGTCGATATCTGATATGACGATTTTTTCATCCCAGTTCCACAAGTAGATAAAGCTGGCGCACTGACACGTACCTTGGTATTTAGTTACTACAGAGAAGACCGCTTCGTTGACTCCCCATCGTAGATTAAGGAACGCCTTTTGGAAAAGTAAAAAGATGCGTCGATGTCACATCATGCTATTTATCGGAATGGGCACAGAGTATTACATACTACGGACAGAAAAACGTCAGCACTCGATCGATTACGAAGCCCACTTTCTTTCTGTTAAAGACCGGTATGATTTGTTGCTCTCTGCGCGGATATAATGCACTGAGCGCACGTGCCTGTATGGTGTTCGGCAAAGCGCTTTTGCGGTTATCACTTCCCCACACTTTCCCAGGAGGCGGAAGTAAACATGAACAACTTCACTGCTCATATACATCGGGTCACTCATGATTACAAATACAAGGAAGTTGATCCAGCAAAGTTCGAAGGCTATCACAATATCTGATCTTTGGCTTTTCAGACCAGAACACTAAAGTGAACCTCTTTTAAGAGATGATGACACATTGTCCTAGGAGACGGTCTGCTCGGCTACCTATCAAAAGCTTCTTACAGCATTCTTCTAAAATTTGGTGTACTGATCAAGTCGTTAGAGAAACTGCTAAGAGTTGCTCTTGTAATGCACTTGAGGAAATTCAGTTTGCTCAACTCGTCTCAACATGGGTTCCGTAGAGGTAACACTTGTTTGACTAACTTGTTAGTGGCCCGAGAATGCTGGACTGAAACTAGATTTAGGCAAAGCAGTGGATCTTTTATCCATTGACCTTTCCATGGCCTTTGGCACCGTCCCATAGTATCGCCTTATCTTTCAACGACAATCGTGCGGGGTTTTCGGTCAAGTCCTAGAGTGAATTTCGGCGTTCTTAGAGAGCAGGATGGTGTGCATTCGAGTTGGCTCCGGTCTTTTTTTCTGACAAAATGTCCTCTATGGTGTTCCACAGGGAATCAGTCCTTGGCCTTCTGTTGTCCGCACTCTACATTAACAATCTCCCTTAATATCTCGAAGTACCGTTCCTTCTGTTTGCAAACGGCTTAAAATTTTGGAGCACTGCGAGTGATACTGGTGGTTCTTTGGCTCTACCGTGGACTTGTTAAATCTTATGGGTGGTCGGATTTGTGTTACTTCCGTATGTGTCTTGCGATCTGTTCAGTTCTGTGCATAGGACAAAGTGCACTTTCGACGTGTTACTTACTGGGCGGGAATGTAGTATCGCAAACGATCCATCAGGTTGAATCGGACATTTCGCCGTTCACGGACTTCAAGTCCAGTGAGAACTAGGAGATTGCTACTCGCAATGACTTCCGGATACTCTGGCAGATCGTACGGGATCTTAACAAAGAAAATGTTTACTTTGCTGTATTCACCCTTCGTTAGACCATACTTCGAATACTACGCGTAAACTTGTACCCCATGTTTGGTCTGCGACAGGATAGTAGATGAGCCGGTTTTAAGCACTAATTTGAACATGAGTTAAAACACTGCCGGTATCTCGATCGGCTGCACAGGCTGCAAACGTTTTCACTACATTGTAGGCCTCTTCGGAGTGACAGTCCATAATTATCTTAAGGACACGCTACCAGGTGTTTGTCCAGTTGGGTAGTAGAACACTGCCGAGGGTAGCTATGGAGGCACGGCTAGAAGCATCAACAGTGCTATGATGGGGCATTTGCTCCCAAGCGGATAAGAAATTCGGATAGCGGATGTTCCGTACCATTACGTCTCCTAAATGCGACTGACCTAACCGGAATTGTGTAAGCGGAGGGCTCTCATACATGCTCCACACTTTCCTTGGCCCAAGTCTCGTGTACTGGCAGCGGACTGTTGGCCGCGAAACCTGCTCTAAGTCAATCGACTTAAGTATTGATCCAACTTTCTGGCCTCATTTAAACGCGTGTGGCTTAGTTACCTTTAATATAGATTTGAGCAACTTACTGTCTTAACTTATTCATTCTTATATTTGCAATAGCCTGATGAGAATCGTTAAAAAGAGATATCTTGGCTATTTGAACTTCTTATGTTAGTAATAGATAATTCATGAGTTATCGTATATTGACTGGGTAGAATGGCTCTGATTCATCTCAACTGTTCACGTCTGCTCGGATGACAACTCCTCAAGATCATTCATTGAAGTTATGTAAGCCCCGAGTTAGGGCCTATCGCTACTTGGGACGTGATACCCAAGGAATTGTTATTAGTGCCAAAGGTGAAGTGGTTTGAACATGAACTCGAAGCCCATGGACTGCAGTTTCTAATCTTCCCTTTGTGTCTTAACTTCTGCTTCCTTTAATTACCATCTCTTATCATCACCGTTACTTCGTCTTATCCTTCTGTGCCGTATCAGGACTTAGCTACTCTGCTTAATCTTTTTTTTCTTTTCCATCTCTTATACCACATGGATGGTGCAACGGGACTGCTAGTGTAGGTCACGTGGGCATTGACTAGTTGACCATGATTTGATTCGAAGGTATTGATATGGCTATGCTTGACTTCAAGTTGATTCAACGAGCTCTACCCCAGTTCAAAGGCGCACTCAAAAGGAACCGCTACTGGAATTTATTTTATATTACTCTTAAGTAGCAGGATTTTAGTTGTAATTTTGTGCTATTCATCCCAGTAGTAGAGGACTTCATCACCTTGCGGGCTAGCCACTGTCAGTGACAGTGGAAGATAGGTGGCGCTATATCCCAGTTAGCTTGCATATTATGTAGCCCAGCCAATGTCCCCCATGGCTCAGTGGTTTAAGCTGCTGGCTAGTTGGCATCTGCCTCTAGTGGTCGTGGGTTCGATCCCCATTAGGGGACCGAGGGAATGCGCACCACTGACGAGCCCCAATAGGGCGAAACGCGTCTGGTGCTTTTCCGGACTAGTCTGTGCTATGTAGCTTGTGAACTACTGGGATGAACAGCTTAAAAATTTACAACTTAAGCCCGCGAGAATTTTCTACTGCTCTAGTCCCATTGAAACTTAAATTTAATGGGTAAGACATCGCAGCTGAGAAAAGCCCAATGGCACTAACTGGTTTTTGATCTATGCGCTAACCAACACGGTTGCACATTTACTTTCTGATATCAATAATCAGCATGACGAATCAGTGATAGGGCAAATTTGGTATACAAGTTAACCAAGCCCCTTTCGGATTGATGTAACTAGCAGGCGATACCCATCGAAGCGGTCTGATGTGAGTGAACCAGTTGCCTAAAGTATGTTCGAACACCACTTACAACAATCGTCCAACACTGCACACTGGAGCATTTTATCCATGAGCAGCGAGTACTCATGAAAATGCACATAGGTGTGGTGTGCTGATACCTGAACATAACTGCATAAAAAACTGATTTTTCGTTTTGTAATTAGATCCCTCGCCCTTGAATCAGCCGATTGATATATGTTCTTGATAAATGCTTTATGCATGCGCGACGCTAAGACACATACAATTTCCGTGCACGTAATATCGATGGAGGTCCTGGACGCACGTTTTCCGTCGCATCCAGGCTATGGTGCGGAAACAGTTGTCCACATCAGTAAAATGTAATAGATGCCGAAATAATATTTAAGCTTTGCTAAATGGTCGTGAAAGGCTAAGGGCTCTCAAACCACCACAAAATCCAAAGGAGAAGCTGGTCAAGCTTGATCAAACGAATCAAGTTATATTGGTTATCACCCAATTCGCTAATTAGGGATGCCAATTGTGTCAGTAAGCAAGCTTTACAGTTTGTACGAATGTGAAGCAAACACAAAAATATCGTAACTTAACCCTCCATTTTGTAGAGATACTAGCCAGTACGAGTTGAGGATTTGTCTGCAAATCCTACAACTGGTGAAAGTTTGCCTAGTCTGATTTTGGTCATGCATATTCGCAAAAGGATTGGAACGAAACTCTCCAGAATATCGCTGCAATCACCAAGCGCACTGCAGGTTTTCTGTACCCTAGCTTGCCCTCCGCCTTCAACACTTTTCAGAGCACTATTGATCATATAGAAAAGATACGGTTGACTTGTGCTTACTTGAGTGGAATTATTGGCTCCAGATGCACTGGCGGGGATGATCTTCTAACTCTGCTCATTGTGCTTGAGCGTTTTGCAGGGAGTGGATTTCAACCAATATGATCTCTGTGCGTACTCCTCCGTATGTTACCCTGACAAGGTAGGAAAATCCTGTAATGAAGAGCTTTGGTAAACTCCGTTCATTTTTCAGGTTACCTTTTCAGTAGCGCCGATTCTTTCCTGATGCGATATCTTCATTGAACAAGCCCGTAGACAAAGCACGACCTTTGCCAGTGCCAATCAGGCTCTTGTTTTATTGTCCATACTGGCTCATTACGGTGCTAAATAGCCACCCGTTCTAAAACTTGACACACCCCTTTAGTGTATAGGTGCCGTCATGTGCCATCGCATTTGCATCACTCACTACGCGACCAATAAAAAGAAACTGCTCTCAACTGAACAGCTACCTCGTGTTTGTAATCGCACAAATAAGAAGTCCATATCCATGCTTCTGGTGACATTTCTTAACTTACGCACATCGCAAATCATGAATATCGATACTGGATGAAGCTGAAAGTACCTAGAAAATATTGTGAATGGAGTGCCATGTCAAGTCACATTGTAGACAATGATTCGCATGGAAGTGAAACTTGGCCACTTCAGTCATCGTAACTGAAGCATCTAGATTTTTGGTGTCGCCCGCTAGCAACACTGCATCCTACGACCGCTTTTATACTCGTTTACATTCATCAGGTAGACACAGCAAGGCTGCACTCGAACTCGAGGACTTCGGGATGAAACTTCAACCACTATGTATCCAGTTCCACTCCGAGCTCAGGCGAGTGGACGCAGTATTTCTGTAGGATTGATTTGCTTAGAGTTCAGCTACCTGATTTTGCCCTACATTTTGATACTTACATTCGTTCGATCAGACTTGAGAAGCTCTTCTCAGCGCTCGGATAAACTCCTCGTGTTTTACTGATGTCCGGTTATGCCAAATTGACTGTTCCCAACTTCAGGTGAATTATGAGTTAGGAAATCCAATCGGTTCTCTTTACTTCTTTCGGTCCTAGCATTCCTTCATATTTCACCCGACTACGCCAAGACTGAAAATCTACCTGCAAGTGGGTTCTAAAAGAAAACTCTGGCTAAGTTCGTTCAGGTTCGGTCAAGTTTTGCGCTCCGAGGAACTGGTCCCATAAAGGATTACGGAATTCTTCTTAACACTCCTCAGACCACTACTCCTTTCCCTGTGCTCTCAACAACATAATCTGTAAAGTCTTCATCCTGTTCCGCGTATATTTTCCTACTCTGCTGGGCTACTCTAGCTAAAAAAACAAATAGTCCACAGAGAGGTGTGGGAGAATGTCAACTCGAGTTTTCTCTTTTTTCTCTCTCATTCCCGTTACTCATATGGTCTAAATCTCATACAGATAATCTGTTTTTTATTTTTTGCTACAAACCTGAATTGTGCTGGGTTTTTTTGTGTTTCATTTGGTTGATGCTTCCAGCTCCCTACTATTTAATGATCATGCGATAATCATGGTCCATGTTATACACCGAAATGGCTCTACCAAGTGTAACCGGGGACCTGATGGAACGTGAATGATTTATGCATAAAAAAACGCTTCATCTATCTTGTTTTCTGCTCACCCTGAGTATTTTCGCATATTCGCGTGTGCTGTTGGTGTAACTAGGATCCGTTTCCATCGTGGATACGATTTCTCAGCAGTACCATGCGAATTATACTATTTATTTATTTGTTCATCTCCATCTAAAGAGTCCAACCAAGGTAGAAGCCGGCCATGGAGTGCAATGATAGGAAAGGTCAATAACCAAAATGTTATGGAGGCCGGCTTACCAGTTGCTCCGGTGTCATGCTGCAACTTCCTTGTAAGGATTTGCTGCCTCTTCTCGGTCGCGCTCCGACAGTGATCCTTATTCTGTTGTCTTCATCGGATCGGTAACCTGGTCCCTCATTGCATGGGATCTGAACATCTGTCATGTCAGCATTTGTCTTGTCCGCAGGCCTTCAAAGTGAAATGGTTGGCATTTAAAAAGTTTGCCACGCACAATAAACACTGATGTATACAATTTGCGGTAATCCATAGGTCTATATGCATTCAGATTCCGCGAAATGTTGATCTTCGAACTCTATCCTATCCTCAAGAAAATTGGGCAGCGTTCCACAAACACGGTTAGAGTGTGATGACGTCGAACAAACCAGTGTATTTCATCATATATCTGCAATTTTCGAAATGATTCCTCATCCTATTTAAATGGAAGGAATTTTCGACCGCTGTCACGCTCAATGATTGCCATCGACTGCCTGTTTTATTGTCTTTCATCTAGCTTAGGTGTCACCAAACTGTTTTCACAGTTGATCGGATAACCAAAAAATAGATAGCGCAGGCCGAAAAACTGACAAAATAGTTATCGTTGGACGCATAATAATTTTACACAATACTACTTGCAAGCCCCAAGGAAAGCGAGAAAAGACACTCGATGTCCGCTTTTCTTTTCGTACTAGTCTTGGTGAAGGCTGAAATACATGGGATCTGAATAAGAAAAGGATACTGATTTGAAAACATAACAAAAGCCTATCTAAATACCAGAAAAGCAGTGGACCAGAGGTCATTGGTGGAGCTACGGCTTACTAGACGTGCATAAAACATTCATTGGCACCTTCAGTAATAGAATATATCACATATGAATTTTTTGCTAGATATATATATATATATGTATTTGAATAGCCACGAGCTGGCTCACACTAATGTTCACAGTTAAAGACCACGTGTAACAAGACATGCAGTGTCAAATGCAAGTTGTATCACAACGTATCGCGTCCTATACGCTTTACAAAGCAAATTCCGGTACAGTAGGCGGGCCGGAGGAACTGACATCGCGGGCCGTAGTTGGTGATCCCTGATCTAGTTGAACGTTTTAAGCCTTTGTTATAAAGAGACCCCATTTGCATCGAACCAGATCATTACTTACTGTAGGCAACACCTGAAGGGCGAAGTTTATAACGCAGCCGTCCGTTCAACCCTCCTATATGGTTGTGAAACCTGGCCCATCAGGTCGACAGACATAAAGCGGCTTGTCACATTCGATCATCAGTGCCTTCGCAGCTTAGCTGATGTCTGGTGGGAGCACCGCGTGAGCAATGACCGTGTTCGGCGTCACGTATTTGGTGCAGAAAGATCGAGTGAACCACTCAGCACCATTATATCACGCACCAGGCTCCGATGGCTGGGCCACGTGTTGCGCATGCCAGCACACCGACTCCCGTGACGTGCATTGTTTGCGAGCCGGGGGTGCGGTTAGAAGAGGAGGAGAGGACCAAGCGATGACTTGGTCGAGAGGAATGAAAACCCTCACTTCGACACTGGCGTCGGTTGGTGTATCCCCACTGCCTGGCTGCGGTCCTAAGGACGATGAACACGTTTGGCTGCTGATATATATATATATATATATATATATATATATATATATATATATATTCACAGTCTTTTAACAGACATTGTGCCAACAGAACCACAGCAGGAGCAAAAAAGTGGAGAAGACAAAAACACGAACTGCGATTAAAAATTTGGAAACACACACCATTTGAGTGTTTTTGTTTTGTGGGTATTTTGTGTGTATTAAAGGGGAGATATAATGGCAGAACAACATTGATGCCACTGATGCCTGTTTCTGGCCATGGAATCCTATGTTTCCAATCACGGAGATTCAGCACCTCGTGGTCCCCAATCTGGAAGACGGACTGTTCCGACTCCGCCAAACTTGAAGTTGCCTTCTTCATGCTCCTTGTCCACGTCATTGGCTGTCCACCGCGGCACTTTTTCCAATCGCTCCCTTGGAGTTTAAATAGCGCTCGACGTGGAAGGCGATGGGCTGGCATGTGTAAAACGTGTCCAAGTCAACGCATGCGATGTCGGAGAATAACCTCCTGAAGACAGGAATTACTCGCTCCAAGCACTCGGTCCCACACTGCGTTGGTTACGTGGTGTTGCCAACACACCCGAGCAGTCCTTCGTAGACAGCGATTGTCGAAGACTGACAGCCGCTTCATGTCTTCCGAGCGAATAGCCCAAGTCTCACAGTCGTACAAGAGTACTGCACGGACGGAAGCATTGTACACCCTGCCCTTGAGCTTGAGATTGACATTACAACGACGCCATAGGTGTCTCAGTTTGATGAATGCAAGGCGGGCCTTTGCAATCCGTTTGAGACCATCTCCAACACCGCTACCAGCCGTAATGCCACTTCCTAGATAAGTAAAGCAGTGGACTTGCTCCAGAACATGCCCAACAATGGTGAGCGCTGGTTCAGGCACCTGCCAGTCCTGGAGAAACGTTTTACATTTTCCCGAAGTGAAGCATAAGCCGTACTTAGACGCCTCCATCACTAAGCGGTCCAAAGCGCTATGGACAGTTTGTGGGTCGTCCCCCAACAAGGCGATATCATCGGCGTAGTCCAAGTCCGTGATTCTTTCTTAAGGAAGAAGCTCAACACCGCAGTTCTGGACACCTTTCAGTGCTCTTTGGACAACATCTTCGATGGCGAAATTGTAGAGGTAAGGTGAAATAGGGGAACCTTGGCGAACACCGCTGGTCACAGCAAATGAAGAAGAGAGCATGCCGTAAGCCCTGACTTTGCCCGACGTGTGACTGTAAAGTTCTTTCAGGATGGTTACAAACCTGTCGGGCACACCTTTCTTCAGTAAACAGTTCCACAACGCAGATCTATCTATTGAATCAAATGTCGCTCGGATGTCCAAAAGCACTACGATTGTTGGCCGTCGATGGATGTGACGAAGTTTGAGAAGTTGGCAAAGTGTGAAGATTTGGTTGATGCAGCCGCGGCCTGGACGAAATCCGGCTTGTTCTTCTCGGGAAAACTCCTCTCTAGTCGTTGAATGCCTGCGACGTAGAACTTACACGAAGATTTCGGATGCGACAGAGATTAACGAGATTCCGCGGTAGTTGCAGCAATCGTCGCGGGAGCTCTTCTTGTGAATCGGAACAACGACCGATTCTCCCCATGAGTTCGGAACCTTCTCCTCAGTCCAAACTTCCGTGAACAGCAATAGGATTTCGCTGAAAAGTATACTCTCGCCATCTTTGAATAAAGCCTGTGGTAGGCTGTCGGGACCCGGAGCTTTGTGGCATTTCAAAGATTGGATTGCATTCCGGATCTCTGCTTCATTGATGGGGGGGGGGGTGGCTGTGGAGACAGTCCAAGTATCATCCATTGGGGCTGGAGGTGTCACAGGGGACTTTGTTGGGTGGTTGAATTGAAGAGCGAAATGCTTTGCTCAGCGACCCAGTCGCCTGTGAAGGTTGGTGATCTTCGTGACTTCTGATTCGCAAATCGTCTGGCTGATAGCTTGGGAATTGCAACCAGTGGCCAAGATGATGCAAAATAGACGGCGAAAGTTGCCAGCTGATGCAGCGGCTTCCATTTCATCAGCTTGTTTTGACCACCAAGATTCACGATCAGAGCGAAAGTTTGCTTTCAGCTGTTGCGCAATAAACCGGCGGTGTTCGTTGTACTCTGCGCCAGCAGGCACCGCCCGTCGACGATCCAGCAATTCTGATGATCTTCCCGAGATCCAGCATTTGGGAGTGGAGTGAGCGAGGCCACACTGGACAAACCGGCCGACAGCAAGGCTTGTTGCAGACTTGACCAGTGTTGATCAACATCCAGGGTGAGATAGAGCGAGATTTTCACGAAGCCTTTATTGATACTCTTTCTTCACCATTGGGTCCTCCAACTTGTAGATCTTCAGTCAGGTGTGTTTTGACCTAGGCGAACCACCGAAACGCATGCAAACGGTCGCACATACCAGTGCATGATCGGTATCGACGGATGTTGACCAAAATGATGGGCAGTCGCGTACGCTGTCGCGCCACCTGCGACTTATAGCTATGTGGACAATCTGTGACCAGCGCTGGGTTGATGATGGGGGGCCAAGTGGCGTATTGGCGTCCAGGATGACGAAAGCTGGTGCTGGAGAGAAATAGTTGATGATCAGCAAACAGACTAAGTAGTCTCTCCACAATCTGAGCGAACATCATATCCATGCGGTCCCCCTAGGTGGCGCTCACATGGCAGCAGACGACCGACACGCGTGTTGAAATCTCCTGCCAAAACAATGATGTCTGTTTTAGAAGCCATTAGGAGCAGCTCATGAAGATTCTGGTAGAACTGGTCTTTGACTGTGTCCGAGCTGCAGTCAGTGGGCGCCTAGGCAGAGATCACGAAGAGAGCACGCTTTTCGACTCGACGTCTGCTAATTTTACAAGAGCCATTGAGCCTCATCGCACAAAGGCGACTATTGATCGGAATCCAATCAGTCAAAGCAATCTCGGCTCTAGCACTGAGGGCGATTCCATCACCAGCTTGCCCACATGCGGCAGACTCGGCGTCACCAGAGAGACGGAGCTGGAAGCGGGTGCTTGGGTGGAGCGATGACGCCAACTGGCAGAGCGAGTTGGAGTCCTGGAGTCGTGTTTCATTCAGATAGCAGATATCAATTCCAAAGGTCTCTAGCGTGCGTGCAAGTCCAGCTTGCTGACCGATCTGCAGTAATGTGCGTACTTTGAAGATTAAGTTTGAACTGCTTTCAAGTTTGCAGGAGCGAAGATGGGGACTTTGGGATTGGCAGCTCTCTGTTGTGCACTGTGTGGTTGAGTTAGCAGATGTCACGGGAACAGGTTCGTCGGTGTATGTGGGGTTGATCGACATACAGGAATCAGGTAAAAATGGGTATGAATGGTACAAGGGAAGGGTGGGTAAAATGGTGACGTGTGCATGTGAAGTTGGCATAGTAAGATGAGTGAATAGCATCGTAACAGAAAGTGTGTGAATGGTTGTGGTTGTAAGTCCATGGTTCGTCAATGGGCGAGATACTACCCGGTTGCTGATATGGCGAAGAGTCGGCCCCAATGGCATCCCTCTTCCTTTAGGTTCCCCCTCCGATCCCGATCTCATGCAAAAAGCATAGTATAATATTTAACAGCAT